TATTAAAACATTTTGTGAATCAGATTATTTAAGGACTTTTAATATTTTGTTGCTTCAATAGGAGAAAATGAGCTTTTTTCCTGCCTGTTCAGACTTCAGACCCCACTACTAGGAAAAATTAACACTTTTGACATGAATGTTTAAGTAATTTTCCAACTCTAAATTTGAATAGCCGACCATTCTAATTTATTTTAACTGTGCTAAAGTTCAGAAACTGTCATGTTCTCTCCTGTTGAAGCTACAGCTTGTGTCTAAACCCTTAAGGATTCAGGTAAAGTTCTTGTTTGCAGGGTTTAAGGCAACACCTGCGAGCGTGACCCTCTGCACGTCCTCTCCGGTTGGTTTTGTGTTTCGCGCGGCGCTGCAGTGTAATCTGTCTTTGGCGCAGCTCAGTGGGGGTCGAGAGGGTGTGCTGAAGGTGGCGGCCTTTGTACGTGAACCGCTCAGGAGAAAGGTTACAGCAACGCAAGCCTCCTCCTGACACGTTCTCACACGGACTCGTAAACACATTCACAACTTATTGTGTGCAGAAACTTTGGCAAACACACCTTCTCAGGTTGATGTACTGTATGTTCGGGAGGTTTTTGTTTGTTTTTAAGAGACGGCTTGTTCACTGATATCTCACTTTAGCATAAAATCATTTCCCCAAAATACATCCACATCAGAACATATGATCTTGTTGTGGTTTGTTGTCAGTGCAGCATCATGGACAGATGATTGGGTTAGTATTTACCAAAGCTTGTTGAAGGTTATTGTAACCCTTTAGTTGGTTCTCAATTTTGCTGTGTTAGCAAACAACAACAGGATTAAATTACTTAAAGAGGTAAAACCTTTGAAAGCTCCTGCGTGAGGCTAAGTACTGACCTTAAGCACATGCATTACATCAGTGTTGTCTGTAAATCAGCATGCAAAGGGCAGTGATACTTCATTTCAATCTGCTGCATGAAAGCATCTCGTATGAAATTTCTTCAAATGTCAAATGTCACTTTTTCTAACAGAAAACACCAATAAAATTCATCATTTTGATCTGTTTTTAGAAAGGTAAACACGGATGAGTTGATTTTTGCTGTTTTGTACTTTCTACTTCTTATCTTTGACTGCAGGTTAAATTCATTAATCATATTTAGTGTAAGTTTTGTCACTGTCTTTTTCTAGGTAAAATGTTTCATTCAATTATTTTGAAAACTTCATTATTTTCAGTGTAGGTTCTACAAAGCTCATAGGAACATTGTTCCCAGAAAGATTATGTGAAAATTTAAATTGGAATTTAAAATTAAAACAGAAAAGAATGTTTTTATGACTCAGTTTCCTTTAGGAGGGTGAGAATTATGGTGCGTTCACACCAAACGCGATTTCAGCATCAGGAGCATCAGGTTTACATGCAAAGTCTATGGTGGATGCGCTTCAATCAGCATCGGGAAGTGCTGCTGCGCTTCAAGCGCGATTAGAGCAGCGCGATTTGAATGATCTGAGCGTTAGACGCGCTGAGG